CTAATGGAGGTGAAGCCTACAGCACATTGACTAGCTAAGCTCTAAAAAAAAATGATAGGGATTAATTCCTTAAGGAGGAAAGGATGTGAGAACACCATTCCTTCAGGAGACTTTGAAGGGATGTACTTTGAAAATCTTTGGTTCAGTTTTGTGTGATCTTATGGCAGACTAGGCGAGGACCTTATCTGTAATGCGCTTGCCTTGCGTTTCTGAGAACTAACAGCATCCCTGTCTGGTTTCTCTGCTCAGGCTAAGCCGCGTCTCCAGCGAGGTGGCAGCTCTGCCTCCCTCCACAACAGTCTCATGAGGAATAGCATCTTCCAGCTCATGATACACACCCTGGACCCACTCGCTGAAGGTAAACACCAGGCTTTAGTTTGGGAGCTTGTCTGGAGGGAAAGAGAACGTGAAACGTCTTCTCTTTATGAAACGTGTTTCCACTTGCGTTGCAAACCTGTGACGTCCCCGTGTGCAGCCTCTGCAAGAGGCAGCCCTGGCCCTGTGGTGGGCTTTATCCGCAGCAGCTCAGTTCAGGATCAGAGATTTTTGTACCCAGAGTAGGAGCAGAGGTCTGTTTGCTGATTCTGTTTTTTGGTGCCTGCAGCATAAATACAGTTTGTTACTAGCAGAGAAGACAAGAGAGGTTTCTCTTCCAGCTAGAGTGCTGGAAGAGAATTCTCCTTCATCCTCCTCCTAAGTTTCAAAATGAAGTTGTGTGTGAAGATAAATTGATAATTTGTTCATCTTCAAAAAAAAAAAGAGAGAGAAAAGAACTCCATGACTTAGGGCTGTGATTAGTTTTGGGAATGATGTTCACTGCAGAACATTGACATTGTGCCTTTTCTTCTCTTTGGCACTTGGAGGATGGAAGGTGAATTTCTAAGCATCCAAAGAGTGCTGTCTAAGATAACTGCTTAGGACCAGACTGGAAAGGGTGATCATAGAACCCATCACAAAGAATCCACTATTGTGTTCTTCCACGTTTACCGATTCACAATGAAGCCAGGTGTATCATGTTTCTTAAATTGTACAAGTATCCTTAAAAAAACTACTTTTTCAAGGAAGTAGGTATCTGAAGCATCAAATAAATATCAGAGTTAGACCACTAGCGAGGGGTTCAAATATAACCACGCCTCCTGTTCTCCCTTCGGCCCTGAACCTTACAGTTGGGCTAATGTTACACAGGGGCAAAGAGCCGGGGAAGCAGGTCTCTGCCACTGAACCAAACACATGGGATGAGATCATGAAATCATGTCACATAAATCAGAGCTCTTAACCAATATAAACTTTTGCTAAATCATTTCAAATGTTCAAGACATCAGGAAATTCAGATGAGGTCAGAAAATTCTCTGGGACCTCAAGAGCTGCTCCCCAGATCCTGTCTCCCCCTCATTGGACACATACCTTCACCCAGAATGATAAGGGAGGAGCACCTGTCACTGTGGGGTATTTCAGTTATGAAACATCTCCATCTTATACCCCAGAGAGTTGTATAGCTGATGTGAATTTTCCGAGGAGTCCTCCCTCATAGATCCTGGGTTCTGTTTACTTGGGTAATCCTGAGCCAGGAGCATCCCAGGTGTCATTCCTCTATTTACCAGAGGTCCACTTGACGAGGGAATGAGCCCTGGTCACCAGCCTGCTTTTCTTACCGCCGGGGTCAACCCAGAGTAGTGATCGCAGTGAATGAAGGAGTAACAGGCCAGCCTCCTCCTAGCCGCGAAGCAGCTGTGTGACTTTGGGCAACTTAGAGCCTCTCTAGTACTTGGTTCCTTCATCTGCAGTAAGAGTTACCTTTGTAACTAGCACTTTATAATTGACAAAGCTTTTTCACACCTGTGATTCTATGCCTCATCATAACGCTTCATAACTAACATTATTATACTAATGTCAGAAAATGTTGTACCACCAAAACAGACCTCAAACGTATCTCCTTCTCTCTCTGCCAGCTCTCTGTTCCAGGCCACCTTTATCGCTTCCTACCTGGTCTTAGCCACTTCCTCCGTTGCCTCTTTGTTTGGATATTTTCCACACAGCAGCCCAAATGATCTTCCTAAGAAGTAAATCAAATCATGTCACTCCTGTTAACCTGCAGTGGCTTCCCATGGCTCTTAGGAGAATTGTGAAATACTTGCCATGGTCTACATGATCTGTCTCTTTCTCCAAACTCAATTTGGCTTACTTTGCTTTAGCCAGACAGAGGCCTTTTCTGTCCTCAAACAGGTACTTCTTTCCTGCCTCAGGGCCTTTACATAGGTTATTCTCCCCCAGCCAGAATACTTTCCTTTCTCCCATCTTCTTCCCCTTTTCCCTGCTTTATTCCAGCCCATTCTTCAGCACTCTGTGTGAATGACACTTCCTGACCATCCAGTTTAAACCAGGACCCTAACCCTCATCTCTGAATGCACTCTTTAATTTTTCTTTGTTGTTCTCATTACAATTTGTGTGATTACTTGTTTATTGTCTGTCTCCCCCAGGACACAGTAAATTTCTAGAGAGCCGGGACTCTATTTACTAATTGTCCCCAAGGTCTGGCAGACTACCTGATACATAGTAGTTGCTAAGGCTCAGAACGATTATGCAGCTTGGCCAAAGTCATGCTTTTGACCTGATATTCACACAATTTCGAAGCCCTCTAAAGCCCCATGGGTTTAAGGTTGTATCTTGGTTATTCTGAGGCACCATCTTCCCCATCCGTCACCCAGAAGAGCCAGGTGAGAAAAGAAATGAACTCTCTTATTGCCTCAACTTGATTATGAGCAGGTGACTGAGTTTATTTATTTTTGGCAAAGCGTGCTATATAGTAATTGAGGACAGATTCCAGAGCCAGACTCTCTCAATCCAAATCCCAGTTCTACATTTACTAGCTGTGTGTCCTTGGACAGGTTACCTAACCTCTCTGTACCTCAGTTCCCTCATCTGTAAAATCAGGATGATATATAATGATGTCTACATCATAAGGTTGTTGTAAATCTAAAGGAGTGAATATGCATAAAGCACTTACATTGCCTAGCAGATCATAAGTACCATATAAAGGTTTGGAATTATTCTGTTTCATTATTTTGAAAAATAATGCAGCGTAGGATTTTTTTTTAATTTAAAACATTCAAAAGCCTATGGTGAAAAAATAAATCTTCCTCCTCCATCAACCTCCCAGTTTTCTCCAGTCCCCAGTTCTCCCAGAGGAAACCATAGCTACCAATTTCTTGGGGCTCATTCCAGAGATGTTCTGTGCATATACAAATGTGTGTGTGTGTGTGTCTTTGCCCACAGATCTCAACAATCTAAATTTCTGTGGTTTTTGTTTGAGGGAGTTCAGTTTCTGGTAGGACTTGTTTTTGTTCTGCTGTTTGGTGGGAGAGGTTATGCTCTGTGTCTGTGAGGTAAGAGGAAGTGAATCTGGGTTGTCTCAGAGTCAGGCCATCAGTGATTTTCCAAAACACCCGGCCCTTGTAGGGCCATGCTGCAATTAAAGTGTTTGTTCCTGCTGTAGGAAGATGTGCCGTCTGGATCTGGGCACCTACTTCCAAGGTGAAACATCTCCCTCAAAGCCATGGAGTGCTCCAACTGTGTGGATCTGGGAGGACGCTGTGAGTCGTAATCAGTTCTGGACTTGCGTGATTGGAAAATATGGAAAGTACTCTAGTGCTTTAAAATTGCTCCATAGCACGCAGCCAAGAAAACAGATTGCTCTGGTACTTTTCCCCCAAAATTCACAATCATTTTCCATTCCAAGAACATTCCAAGCTCTCGGAAATAGTCATCTCTCTTTTAGTTTGCATCTAATCACTTGAATTCACACATCCTTGTGCCAAACTGTCACCTTTTTGCAATATAGAGCATGCTGGTTACATCACCAGGTTGACGGCGTGAACACTACAGTAGCTTCTCTCCTGCACTGTTGACGTTCCTGGCGTCCAGCTAGCTGAGTCGTGCATTGGCACCGCATGGCATACGGTCAGTTTTCATAAAGGGAAGTTTTCAAATTCATTTGAAAACATCGTCTAGGACAGATGACCCATGAAAAGTCACATTTCTCTTTGTCTCATCTGTGCCACCCAGGTTTTTTTTTGTCTTCCAAAATCCAGTGGTTGAGCCCTTGCTAAAAGCTTTGATTGGTGGTTGGTTCGGCCTCTGAGCCTGAGTCACAAGATCCTGCAGTGTTTGTGTTTCATTCATCTATTGATATGTAACAAAGCTTCCAAGATTTAGTGGCTTAGAACCACCACCCTATTATTCCTGCTCATGATTTCATGGATCAGGAATTTTGGTGATTCAGAGATCAGCAGGGTGATTCTTCTGTTCCCTGTGGTGTCAGTAGAGGTCATTTGATGTTACTGAGCTAGGCGAGAGGCAGGTTAGAACCACCAGCATAAGTTTACAATTAGTATTTCGCAGCCTGAAAAGTCCTTGGTTTCCGCACCTGTAAAAGGAAATAATAACAGTTCCACTCTTGGAAGTTTATGGTGCACATTCAATACACTAATACCCAAAAAGCATATCGCTAGTGCTCAGTGGCTGTTGGCAATGATTTTTCAGTTAAAATTGTGTTCAGTGTCATGTAATAGAATCTAACTGCGGTGGCTTAATTTAACAGTTTTTTTAAAGACTTTTCTTTTTCTAGAGCAGTTTTAGGATTACAGCAAAAGTGAGAGGAAGATGCAGAGATTTCCCATAGCCCCACAGATTACTACCCGCCCCCATTATCGACATCACTCACTAGAACGGTGCGTTTTTACTGAAGACAGACCTACGCAGACACATTGTAATCACCCACAGGTTACCATAGGGTTAACTCTTGGTGGTGTACACTCTATGGGTTTAGGCAAACATAATGACATATATCCATCATTATAATATCAAACAGTATTTTCACTGCCCTAGGACTCCCTTGTGCTCCGCCTCTTCATCCTTCTCTCTGTCACACACACACACACACACACACACACACACACACCCACCCCTGGCAACCACTGACCCTTTTATTGTCTCCATAGTTTCGCCTTTTCCAGATGTCAGATAGTTGGAATCACATAGTATATAGCCTCTTCTGACTAGCCTCCACAGTTTTTTAGGATTTTTATTTTTCATTTAACTAGAAGCCCAATAAAAAGCAGTTCAAGGCTGGTAATACTGCTCCATCTTGCCATGAGAGACCTAGTCTCCTGTGTCTTTTCATTCTTCCATCCAGAGCCTGCTTCTCTCATTCCTCATCCCCCTAGGAAGGAAGCTACTCCCCCTGCCCTCCACCGCAATCATATCTGTATTCTGAGAAGGATAAGACAGTGCAGCTGTCTTTTTAATCAGGAAAACCTTAGCATCCCAGAAGCAGACTTCCACCTACATCGTATAGGCCAG